TCGTTTTGGGGGTGCAGCCAACCCTTCCTACGTTTTCCGAGGATCGGAGGGGAAGCAGGAGGTTGGTGATGAAAAGGAAGGTGCTGAGGCGCAGACCCGACGGAGGAGTCGAGGTCTCGGACGAGTCGGTGAGCAGCGGGCCGGAGAGCGAGGCCGAGGTGTGGGGCCTGAGGCGGGAAACGCTCCAGCTACGGACCAGTCCGGAAGACAGCATCTCCGAGGGGGAAATCGAGACGAGCGGCAGCTCCCTCGAGGAATCCCCTCGCCGGTGGCCCCGCGGGGACAGCCCCAGCTTCCTCCTCGGGGATTTTGGGAGCCGGAGCTCTCCCGCTTCCCAGTACACCGCTGCAGCAGGACAACCCAAATCCTTCATCCCTCCACGGTTTGAGCCGCTGGGCCGCAACCGGGGGAAAACCGACCGAGTGGCCAAATATTTTGAATATAAACGAGAATGGGAGAAATTCCCAATCCCGGGGGAGAATCAGCGGCAAGAACTGCGTTGGGGCATCCGGGAGCAGATGCTCTGCGAGCCCGAGCTCCCCGGCAAGCCCCAGCACCTCCGCCTCCCCAACACTTACGCTGTGCCGACCGAAAAAAAGAGAGCAGCCCTGCGCTGGGGGGTGCGCTGGGACCTGGCCCAGGGCCTCATCCCCAGGAAAAACCCCTCCTCCTGAAGCCCCGCTCCGCGCCCGAGAGCTCCTGACCGCGCTCTTCCCCCTCGATAATCTGGAAAATGCCCCCTCTGCATTTCGAGCGGGTTAAATTCTGCCGGTAAAAACCTCACCCAGCGCCTTGGGCGGTTCCGTGGGCCCGGACGCCCCGGCCTCCCTCCCGAGGTAGCGTGAGGGGGTGCGGGGAGCAGGCACCAAAACACCGCGGGACTTTTCCAATGTCGGGAGAAAGGAGAATGTAAGGAGCCCGGGGGCTTGGGGCGCGTGACTGCCCCCGGGCCGTCGCGTTGCGAGCTGTCACGGCGTTTTATTTACGGCCTCTCGGCCAGACCTTTCTTTAATAAAGTGTGTGGAAAGATTCGTTATGGTTCTGTGGGTTAATTAGAATCTCAGACTCCAGATTTATCCTTGCACCGCCAAACCCTCAGCTCCCCTTCCCTTATTTTACCTCTTTTTTAAAATAAATGAGCTGTAGGATGAAGTGAAGATGATGATGATGATGATTATTATTACTATTATTTTCCAGGTATGGAGACACGCTGGCAATTCCGCAGCCTTGAAGCCGTGGCAGAGAGCATGACTGGGGAGCCCCTGGCCCCCCGAAACCCCCTCGGGATGCCTGGGAGAGGGAACAGGAAGGACAGGAAGCAGGTGATGGCTGCGGCTCCCCCCAATCTTCTGGAGGGGGCACAGGGGGCACCCCAAAGGCGGACAGAGGCTTCACCCAGCTGGGGGACCCCACTGCCACCCCACGGTGAGGGGGTCTGGTGCCCCAAGGACCTTCCAGGGCAGGGGGGTCCCTGGAGAACCAGGGATTCCCCCCAAACCATAAGGGGGTCTCTGCCTGCCAAGGGACACACCCCCTAAACCCTATGGGGGGTTTCTGCCCCCCAGGAACCCCCCCCAGCTCCATGGGGGTTTCTGTCCCCCAGAAACCCCCCCAAGCCCTACGGGGGTCTGTGTCCCCCAGGGTCCCCCCTCCCAAACCCTCCTATGGGGGGTGTCTCTGCCCCCCCAGGGACACACATACCCCCAAAGCCCTATGGGGATCTCTGCCCCCCAGTGTGCCCCACAAACCCTAGGGGGGGGTCTCTTCCTGCCCAGGGCCCTCCCCAAGCCCTATGGGGGTCTCTGCCCCCAGGGACACACACACCCACCCCCCCAAACCCTACAGGGGGGTCTCTGCCCTCCAGGGACCCCCCCAAACTCTATGGGGCTCTCTGTGCGCCTGGCCTCGCCCCCCCAACCC